CCGCGAGGCCCGGCCCGTTAGGCCCACTAAGGCCCGGGCCCGGGACAAAATACAGCATTAATAAAGACTATGTATATTGTTCATTTAAACGGAAAAGGGTTAAAAATGCTTTAAAAATATACTTCATTTACCTATTAGGCTAAAAATATCCCTTTATTTATTTTTTGGTCCACTTATTCCCTTTAATCGTTAGGTCAATGCTGAATTAAAAATAATAATTATTTAAACAAAAAAATGGTCAAATATATCCATTTACTACTAGAAAAGGTTTAAATGTAACCCCCGTTATACTTTGAGTCGAAATATACCCTTGTCGTTATACTATTGGTTCAAATATACCCCTTTTCCGTTAAGTTTGTCCTAAGTAGACATTCAATCTTACGTGGCACTAACATTTGATGAGGTGTATGTCACATGACTCGCCACTTCAGCGCGCCTAACCCATTTTATCCCTCTCTTCTATTTCTTTTCCACGCCTAAAATTTTCTTCCTCTCCACTTACTGCTACCATGAAAAATATATTTCAAATTTTAGTCTTTTATATATGGATTAGGGGCGCTGAGGTGGCATGCCATGTGGCATTCACCTCATCAAATATTAGTGTCATGTAGGATTGGATGTCCATTTTGGACAAACTTAACAGAATAGAGGTATATTTGAACCAACTAGCTTTATGGTACGCGCTTTGCGCGTGTACTTGTATCAATGAATGCTAAATTTAGAAGATATAAATATTACTTCCTCTATTTTAATTTGCATAATATATTTTTCTTATTAAAATAAGATAGACAGATAGATAGATCCGTGTACATTTCTGTTGTTGTGCACAATACATATAGTTAAAATTAAACAAAGATCTAATGTTAATTGTTTTTAGTCCTTTTATATTTAAAAAAATATAGTTTTCGATTGGCGACTTTAAATAATTTTGATACATGGTTTTAACTTTGTGAGTTATTTCAATGTTAAATAATTTTGATACATGATTTTAACTTTGTGAGTTATAATTTTTTTTTCTATTTTTTTTTATGTCAAATATAAATAAAATTTACTGTCTTCATCTTTTAGAAAATACAATTCCACCAACCAGAACTTAGTTGATTGTGCTAGTAAACTCATGAGTTTATTGATTAGTGCAACTTCAGTACTAACATCTGTAACGGTAATCGTTTCATTTACCAATTGATGTGATTTCTGACATTGATCAATTATTTGTTTGATTGGAGTTACGTTCTTGTTGTTAAAATAAATGTTTCATATAATTAATAAGTTCACCATTTTTTACCTATTTAAATGCTCTTGATTACTAATAAATATTTCCTTTGTCTTAAACTATTTATCGTATTTCTATTACAAACACCTAAAGAAAATTTTATTTCAAAGGATTTTTTTAACTATTTAACCCTTATTATGTCATAAATATAATATCTCTTCGTTGAACATTTACTTAATTTATGTGCCATCTCCATCTTCAAGAACAATTACTACTAAGAATATAATAAAAACAAATTAGTTTGAAACAATTACTTCTAAAATGACAAATAATTTGAAATATCTATTTTTAGAATTACGATAAATAACTTGAGATGGAGGGAGTAGAAATTAATTCCCTTATATTAATTATATATTGGCTTATTTTAACTCTAATTCTCATCTAGCTTGACTTTTAGAATATCGATAGTACTTAGAAATAAAAAGAAGAATTAATAATAGTAGTTTTTTCTTCAAATTAAAAAGTAGTAATAGTTCGTCTCATTTTTTTTGCATTTAATGTCTAGAATCCCAATTTAATGCTTAGTGGTGAGACATTAATACTTTGAAATTTGAATTCCTAAAACGTATTTCAATGTCAGAATTAGTTCTTATATTTGATCCTAAATATTAGGATTTTAAATTATAAAAGGAAAATTTTAGTTGATTTTAATATCTTAAATATTGGGATTTCCTATTATAATAACTAAAGTTTTAGTTGATTTTAAAATCCTAAATATTAAAAAATTAATAAAATGACTATTTTATTCATTGTAAACTCTATTTTTAAAGGGCAAAAAAGGCGAACGACATTTCGCTAAGGGTCTTCGTGCTTTTAATATAGTATAGAAAGTATTACGGCAGGGATATATTTAGACCCAAAGTATAACAAAGAGTATATTTAAACATTCTCTCATAGTGCAGGGTGGTATATTTGGCCCTTTGCAAATTCCACGTGGCAACTTATTATTGATCGAAATTAAGAAAGACTCACCCATATCTACCCGTTTTTAGGACTAACCGACCCCAAACACTAACCCATCCCAAATAAAAAGTTGAACTAGAAAAAGGACGCCCCACTTCTATCTAACTCCAACTTATAAAAGGCCAATTTATAGGAAGACCAATAGATTTTAAAGCAGGAACATCGTACTTCAGTTCATATAGTAGAGGGATCCTAGATCTTCTTTGGCTTTTCTACTACAACAGCAGGAACTGCCTTAGCAATAGCATCCCGACCAGCATTCTTACAATCATATGGGTAGTCGTGCTTGTCAGAATAACGATGAGCCGCACATAAAAGATTCCCACACTTGCAATTGAATCTTGTTAAACCTACATGCTTGCGACAAGTAGTGCACCTAGTTGGGCCCTCTTTTGGCTTCACATCTGAACTCTGACCTGAGGATAAATCTGAAGATGCTCTTTGTCATTACTGCTAGAGTTTCCATTTACAATGTTGCGATTGATGTAGCTGCAAATTTAGTTTGTCTTGCTTCAGTATCATGTCCTTGTTATACTTAGAACACATTCATGGTAGTTGCACTACCAAAGAATCCACAGTTGTTGATGCAAAGGATGGGACCTTCTGGCGCTTGGTAGCCTGTCTCTTTGGAAGACTTCATTTTTTTGCAGCAGTTAATCAGGAGTAAGTTCCAACTTTTTATTCGGGTCGGGTTAGTGTTTGGGGCGGAATAGTCCAAAACGGGTAGATATGGGTGGGTCTTTTTAATAGGTTAGATGTTTTAATTTCAATCCATAAAAAGTTTTCACGTGGAATTTAAATAATTATTATTTTTAATTCAACATTGACCTAACGGTCAAAGGGCATAAGTGAACCAAAAAGGTGGATGTAGGGGTATTTTTAACCTAATAGGTGAATGAAGGATATTTTTAAACCTTTTCCAATAGTTTAAGGGCATTTTTAACCCTTCTCCGTTCATTTTAAAAAAAAATTGCACATTATAATATCGCTTCACAAGTGGAAGTAAACTTTTTTTTCATCCCCACCCTACCCAAACCCCTATTTTTTTTCTTTTTTCCTCCATCATAGAAAAACTATTGAAATGTAAATCAAACGTTAGACTACTTAATTCAAAATAATCTAAAATTGACCGAAAATGGTAGTGTAAGTTCTAAAGTTAACCAAAAATAATAGCATAAATTCTCCTTTTCTTATGATTCAGAAGTGCATAAATCTATATTATATTAAAAAGAGAGTAGTGAAACATCTATATTATATTAAAAGGAGAGTAGTGAAGCATGTGGTTAAGCCAAGTGACAAACTAAAATGAAGCCACTTGGCAATTTTAAGACAACATTAATTATTAAAAATTATAAATAGAAATATAATTAATGGGAGTAATTTAATGACTCTTATACATAATCTAAATAGATCTTAGACAAATCTAATCTATATATATATATATATATATATATATATATATATCTATATTCATATCTATACTAGTTTTTGGCTATGTGCGTTGCGCGTGTACCTTGATAAATGAATATAAAAAAATCCTAAATATATAGAATAAAAAATATTTTTTTTATTGTAAAATTAGTTCTTAAAAAAGAAAAACTATGGACATATTAACTTAGTTTAATTTGCATGTTGGTTCTGAGCACTTAATTGTCTTAACCTAGATCATATGCTATAATATATATTAAGCCGGAGTAGTTTTTTCTTTTGGAGATTTTGTAGTTGTGTATATTGAAATTTGTTTCCTTATCAATCCTTAAATATATTGCTCATGTATCGAAAGTCTATCTTATCATGATACCCTGTTTTTCTTCAAGTTTTAGTATTCGCTATGTAAATAATTCTCTCGACATGCTTTAGTCATATCAAATTAGGTTTTTTCCCTCGCTTCAAGTTCGCGCAAGTTTGAATTCATCTTTCATAAGAGTCACTTCATAATTTTTATAATTTGTGAAAATTAAGATATTTAAATAAACTATATAAGGTAAATTTAAACTCCTAAGTGTTAGGACTCCGTATCTAGATCAATTAAGGAACGATTTAATAAGTAAAATTTTAGTTGATTTTAAAGTCCTAAAATTTAGGAAAGTTACTTAAATTACGATTTTATCCAGCAGAAAATATGTTTTGGAAGGGTAAAAAAGGCGAACGAAATTTTGCTAAGGGTCTTCGTGCTTTAATATAGTATAGATATATTGATCCACTCCTAGATTTTCTTCTATATTAGCTAGAAATATGGAAGTGAAAAATTAATTAAACATTAAAAAACTATAATAGAAAAAAATAAAAAAATACAGAAATACGTAAATTGAGATAATCTATGACTAATTATATTTTGGAGTATGTTAAAATATAAAATAAAATTAAAATTTATTTATGATATTAAAAATTTATTGAGTATAAAAATTAAATAAATTCAAGCAGCAAAATAAGATCTTACTCAATCTATCTATATTATATTAAAATGAGAGTAATGAAGCATGAGGTTAAGCCAAGTGGCGTATTGAGAAAAAGCCACTTGGCACTTTTATGAAATCTATCTGTTGGATTCTATTTGTATAACATTGAAAAAGTATTATTTGATATTCTTTTGTATCTAATTATTAATTGGATAAAAAAATCTGTTGGGAAAGAAAGATGAAATCGAGCTATCCGTGAACATATATTACCATATCTATATTATATTATATATAACTTCATGGTTTCCGTCAAAAAATTATTATTTGATGTTCTTTTGTATCTAATTAATAATTACTTTTTTTTGTGGGAATGAAATATGAAATAGAGCTGTCCGTGAACATATATAACCATATTCGGAGTAATATTACATATGACAAATATTCTGTTGAAATATGAAATTAATGCTTTGAGTTAATATGAGTAAGAGAAAAAGGTATGAAATATTCTGCTGACATAAAAATGGAAAGAAAAAATTCTTTCCATGTTATGGACCAAAGTCCAAAAATAAGTAAAAGAAAAAGATCATTGTGACATGACAATATATGATTACTCACACTTGCCATACAAAATTACAGGATCATCGATTTGTAATACTATTAAGGATTTCTTTTATGGTAGGCATCCTTTTTCGAGAAAGAATCAATTAAAATTTATTTTGTATCTTACACATTAATTTTAAGTTGAAATAATAACTCTATATTTAGTACAAGCTTTGTATCTGACCTTATTTGCGAATAATATACATTAATATAGGTATCATATACATTACTATAAGTATCTTTAATTAAATTTTATGTATAATTCAGTTATTGTACGTATTCTTTTTTAAGAAAGAATTAATTAAATAAATGTTTTGTCTTACATCTATATTATACTAAAGAAAATAGACTGAAAATTTTAAGAAAGAATTAATTAAACTAAAATATTCTTTTTTTAATGAACAAAGTAGAATCTTTTGGTCGTACACAACAAAAAGACGCAATTTCATCAAGCAGACCAATATATTATAATTATAGGTATTTTTTAGAGTGTTGGCTTGCCTAGCAAGTAGGTTAGACACCATCACAATCTTAAGAGAAATTATGGGTCGTGATAATATTGTGTTATTTAATGTTTAGCCCACTTTGTAAATATCATGCACCAATAATTAGTATATTATTCGAATGACCCTTTTTTCTTGCTTTGTTCTCTCTCTTTTCGCTATTATATCTCTTTTTCTATCATTCTAGTGATTCATCATATGAAATCATCTTTTTCTTTCTNTATATATATAAACTAATATAAAAAGAAAATATAAAACTATTGAGATAATAATCTCCCCCAAAATAAGACTTTTAATAATAATATCATGGATGCTATTGTGTTGTGTAAAATGAGAAAAATGAATACTCAATTTATAGAAGCGTAAAATATTTTTCTCCAAAAAAAAAAGTTAAATATTGAAGAGACTTTTTTTTAACAATAAAACCATTTCTAATCATGGTAGAAATCCGGAACCTAACAAATGACTCCAAATTATATGTTCCCTTAAATCCTCAAACACTTGAAGAGAAATAAATTTATCTGGCTTGGTGAACACAAATTATTTATATATATATATATTTCCCCTGTTTGAACCTTTAAAAATAGATTTCATACTAGGAAAAATAGTCATTTTAATTAATATTTAGGACTTTAAAAAATCGATTAAAATTTTGATTATTAGACTTTCCTTATATGAACTTAAAGAATATCCTAAAATTTATGACTTTAAAATCACTTAAAATTTTGCCTCATATCTATATTTATTATATATATATATATATATATTTCCCCTGTTTGAACCTTTAAAAATAGATTTCATACTAGGAAAAATAGTCATTTTAATTAATATTTAGGACTTTAAAAAATCGATTAAAATTTTGATTATTAGACTTTCCTTATTTGAACTTAAAGAATATCCTAAAATTTATGACTTTAAAATCACTTAAAATTTTGCCTCATATCTATATTTATTCTATACTATATTAAAAGCACGAAGGCCCTTAATGAAATATCGTTCGTCTTTTTACCCTTTTAAAATAGCGTTCACACTAGACAAAATGGTCATTTGATTATTTTTCTATTTTTTAGAAGTTTAAAATTAACTCAAATTTTACTTATTAAGTCTTTGCTTATTTGAAATAGTTAAGAAATCGTTATATTTTGGGAATTTAGATTTATTAAAATTTTGCCTTATATAAATCTTACAATAAAATTATACATGCACATAGAACAACTATATCTCTGTCCTCTTTAAGGTTTGGCCAAACTTTAGTTTTGATATTTCGACGTTCGAGTTCCTAAAATAACGAAATATAAATATAAATCAACAAAGATGCTAATAAACAAAATTAAAAATATAAGATATTTAAGAGAATTAGTGAAAAAAATACAATTCACATTAAAAAGTTATCTTGAATATTGCATAGAGTTAGGGTCATGTGATGCATGTGTATCCTGTATTAATGAGCATAAACTTACAAGAATATCAAACAAATAATATTAAAAATATTTTTGAGTTATAAAATAAAACCAAGAAAATAAGTCGTAAGTTTCTAAAAATAACAAATATTAAATTGATAATCATGTTTAGCCAACTCCTTACACAAAGAAACCATTCTTTACAAAATTATGCAGTATTTTTGGGTTGTCCAACTCTAGTCCTAAAAAGGATAAACGGTCGATGTAAATATAATCCGGTCTAAAAGTTGGGAATCAAATCCCACAGATAACTAAGGCTTAGCTATATCTGTTTAATACCACTAAAAATACAAGTTTGAACAATTTTCTAAATTAAAAAGATTGAGATTTATTTTTCTAACTAATTAACTAGCAAATACTAGAAAGCGGTAAAATTATCAACTAACGAGGCAAAAGGTTGGAGACTAAATTAAGGAGGTCTAGAGTTATGATTTTCCCAATTGTCGGAATCCTGCTAGCTATGTTCCCTACAAATTTGTCAATGTATTCTCTACTGATCGTGAGTACTTTAGGTGTCGTAATTCTCTCTCGAGCAACTACAATAATTTAATAGACATATTCTTTCGAACTACACTAGTTGACTTTATCTAACCGCTCATTATGACCACGTCAAGGCTTTGTTATTTCTAAACCTACCTTTAAACCCGCTGTATTGATTTCTCACATACGTTAGGAGTG